CCCTGCTTCCCCCGTGCCCCCGGCCCCCCCGTGCGCCCAGCACCAAGCTCTGACAGATGCTCCTAAGTAGTTTTTTCCTATATTTTCCACAGAGGAAACAGAACAAACAATATGTTTTGAAAAGAGGATTTCAGTTAAGTTTCCTGAAATCTATTGTAATCTCCAGCTGGTGATTCCCCGACAGGGAGGGAATTGCCCACAGGTTGCACTTGCCAGGTTTTTGGACTAACAGATGGTAAAGCCACAGAAGGCAGGTTTGGAACAAGGGCAAACCCTCACGTTGCGCGGGCTTCGTTCTCAAGAAACTGTTGATGAAGTTAATTTTAAAAATGGTTTGATTCTGGAGCCAGTCAGCCCTGAAGTGCAGGTTTGAGATGCCCTGCTCGGGTATGGTTCGGTAGCTGGATGCCAGCCCGGGATGCGCAGGAGGGATATGGGTGGCTCGGGCCAAACCAGAAGACAGTTTGTTTAGTGCAGATGAAGGGTGAACTAACCCCCTTCGCCAGGCCCCTTGCTCCTTCAGAGTAATATTTAAACCTGGACAGTTGGCTGTTTTCATTACAGAAATATTGACTGCAATGAAAGACCTTTCTCCCCAGATTTTGCTGGATTCCAGCCGCAGCTCCCGTTCAAACCTCCCTGACACCCACGAAACTGAACTTCCAAAGGACTTTGCCTAATTTTTAGGTTTTTTTCAGGACCAATTGTAAATATAAAATCTCCCCCAAATATTTTCTGTTTCTCTGTAGGCTTTCAGTTTATGCTTTTATGTATAAACATCCGCTTTTGCTACAGCTCCGCCGTGCAAACCATTGACATCAAGACACCGTGGAGGTGGCCAGTGCTCAGGGTCCCCACCTCTTCTCCCACCTCCCCCCATTGTCTCCTAAATAGCCTTTTCTCACCCCCCTTTACTGGAGGTAGAGATTAAATCAGCCGTCTCCACGCCGTGTCCATCAGAGGAGCTGGATCCAGCCCAGTTTCTGGAGACAGACGCGATTTAACAAGAAGTTTTGCAAGAGGCGAGAGCTCCCTTTCAGTGGGCAACGAAGTATGTGGGAAAGAACTGGGCTGGGATCCAGCGGGAAATTTGTGAAGAAGCCTTCTGACTATAAAAGGAGACAGAGGCTGGTGGTGTTAAACCGGGGGAAGGCGAAAGGAGGGTGCTCAGACCCAACACCCTGCCCTGCGGCTGCAAATTCTACATCACCACCTGCCCCAGGGTTTTGGGCCATGTGGGACAGGGGACAGGAGAGATTTGGAAAGGTAAGTGCCAAGCAGAGCTATCAGATGTAATTAATATAATGAGGCCTTCTAAAAGAAGCTGAGCCCAAGGTCTTGTCCGTCAGCACAGCTTAGTTGAAGGAAGCAGCTCCCAGATGTTCGTCGGTGGAAATTTGTGCTGAGCCCAACCAGCCCCGGAGGCTTCCCCAAGTGAGGGAGGACCTGGGAAACCCAACAAGGCATGGACCTGCTGAAACCAAAGCTCTGGGGACGCACCAACAAGCCTGGTGGCTTTAGCCTGTGTGGCGGGGAGAGGCTACAGGGGCACAGCAGGCACTTGATGGTGGCACCAGCACTTGCCGATGATGGGAAGAGGTGTGGGGCACTCCCCAGCCCCACGGCCACTGCTGGCTGGGGTTGCCCAGGGGTTGGGTAGGGCTGTCTTGCAGGGTTTCTTTTTCCAGCAGGGGGGAAGGAAGAGGAGTATTTTAAACAGCCATCTCAGCTGGGTGACCAGGAGATGGGTGACCACCAGCAGTGCCCTGGCAATCAGCAGGATGGTGCTTACAGACATTTTGAGTCCCCTCCTGATGGCAAGGTCACAGGAGAACCTGTGTGAGGGAGGTGTTGGGGCAGTAACCTGTAGCTCAGGTTTTGCTGTTGCTTCTCTTTATTCATGGGGATCTCCTGAAAGCCTCTCTGAGAGGAGCCAGAGGCTTCTGGCTTCAGATTAGAAATCAGACCTTGTGGCTGCCCTGGTCACCTCCAGACATTTCCAGAGCTGGAGACAGGAAGGAACTGGGAGCTCGTTAATTGGGAAGCAGCAGGCATTTTATGGAGGAGGTTGTTTGTGTCTCTTATTAACAATAACACTTGAAACGCTTCCGCATCTCAAGAAGCCGTTGTGTCACCCTCTCCAACACCTGTGTTTTGCAGCTCTCAAATCTTACCCAAGTGCTTCTGTCCTGACCAGATGATCTCAGCTGGAGTATTTTAATCCCCAAAGAGCCAGAGGGGTCATCAGTCCTTCGTCAGGGGGCAGAGAAGTCCAGACAGACCAGGAATAGCTCACAACATCCATCCACAGCTCTGCAGCCACCAGTAAGAGAAGGTTTTGCTTTTAATCTTGCTTTTAAATCCTCTAGGCCTTGTGCTGCACAGAAGCGTTTCACAAGGACAGCCTCGAGGGTCAGAAAAGCAGAGGCAGGACAGCAAGAAAAGGATTTGAAGAATTTAGCTGTTTTATCTTTTTTTTTTTTGGCTTTTCTCTGGTGGCCGATGGCTGGCAGCTGCTCAGGGGTCACACTCGGGCAGGGGAACAGCCCCGATGAGGATGCAGGAGATGGGGCAGAGCAGGAGGAGCAGCAGGAGCCCAGGGCTGGGATGCTCCTCACCCAGCAGACACTGACCGGGTGTCCCACCCTTCCATGGCTGGCTGGTGCCCTCTGCAGTTGCTTTCCCTTATTGTAAATGCAAAACACTAATAACATGAGGGGACAATTTTATTACTTGATGAGAGCGAGTGAGGACAGCTGACGTGTCCCTGTCTTCCTGGGTTTGGAGAGACATCGTGTGGTCCTCAGGCACCTAAACACCTGCCTGATACCACCCTCCTTGACCTGTTCCTCCACTCCTCCGTGGCCACCATGACCTGCTCGCTGGCCCTTTCTCTGCCACACACGGTACGGCTCCACCGGGACAGTGGCCCCCAAACCCTGTGGCTGTGGGGGGGGCACAGCAAAGCCTCTGCGGGGCAGCAGCAGTGGGGGTGAATGAGCTCCCAACCCCAATTTAATAGGGAATTGCTGAAAACAATCCTTTTAAAAGGATTTAAAAGGCAGGATTTCAGCGAACTTGGCATTTTATTTTGCAAAGGGGTTTGTCTTCTATATTAATACTTTTTTTTAAATCCAATCTAGAATAGAAGCTGTCTTTAAGGTCTTGGGGTTTTAAGCAGAGATATCTCAGAAGAACAGCTGAGCCCCCCGAATCCTGACAACCTTGTGGTGGTACAACCCGAGGCTGCACCCAGTGAATTACCAGGCAGCTCATCCGAGACGAGGGGCTCCATATCTCACGGTGACAGTTTCACAAAACCTCATTGCTCCCAGCAGATATCTTCCTTCTGAAAAGAAAACATCAACCCCCGCACTGGAAAAAAGCAAGTTCCAGGAAAACAGCTGAGAGAGAACATGAGCTCACGCTTGCAGGTTGATTTAACCCATCCCTGAAGAGGGTATTTATTTATCCTCTCCCCTTCTTGCTCTATGGGGGTTTCTCACTTTTCTTCCACTGCAAATTTCTGATGTTTCCCGAGGCCATGGCTGGAATAACTTGCTGCTGCATCTTCAGCCAGCACCAGAAGGTCTTGCTCACGTACCTTAAGGCACCCCCAGGTGTGCCACACGGCTTTTCAGCAACACAAGTCCATGCTGGCAGCAGTGAGACCCTGTGGGCACCCAGCAAAGCTGCTGCCAAAACTACATTATATCTTTGAAATGATGCTTTACCACACTTACATCTGCTGGCCTGGTTAGACCTCGGCTATTGGGTGCTTCTAGAAAATTGCATCTTTTGATCATCTGTCAAGCAGAACATAGCCTGGAAAAACCCATTTGAGGCATTTTAGTGATTTGGAATAGACCCAGGCCTCTCAAACAACCAAACAAGCTGCAGATGCCCCGCTTTTCACTTTATCTGGTGTCCCTAACACCAACAAACTCCCTCCTGTGGCACTGGAGAAAGCACTGGCTCCCGGAGCTGCCAGCTCCCCCCCAGGAGTCCCTCCCACAGAACTAAAGATATTTTTAAGAAATCAGCTCACAAGCCCCATCCGTCGCTGTGCACAAGCAGGAGTTACACAAGATGGTTCCTGCTTTCAGGCAAAACTCTTGGAGACCAAATCCATCCCTCCGGGAAGCCGTGAGGCTCCGCTGGACTCATCTGGAGGCAAATTGCCCATGGGGCTGGCAGTTTCAGGGACATCCACAGCAGCTGAAACCAGCCCTGCTGCTGGAGAAATAGTGCTTTGAAGTCCCAAATTGGCGTTTAAAAATATTTTAGCCATCTCTGGCCCCAGAAATGTGGGGGCTGGGGACTACCGAGGGGTTCCAAGAGCCCGCAGAGAGATAGAGTGAGCAAAGTCACCTGCTGCCCTCTGCCTTTCGTGTGCAGATCTCACAGGCACTTATCTTAGTGCAATCCAGAAGCTGTTTATTTAGATTAAAGGTTATTTGAAACGGGTTGAGGCTCCGAAAGCATGACTTGGAGCATTTTTGTATGGGATCAGGAAATGGAATAAGATAACCCTCTTGGGATTAAATTTCTAGAGAAATAAACCGAATCATTGCCATTTCCCTCACCCAGAAAAGCCTTTTCCTTTTCCCAGGGTAGTTTGGGTCTTTCTCATGGCCTTTTGAAGGATACACTTACATTTAAATTGGAAGAGAGCTGGTGTAATTTGAGCAGAAATTACCTCCCGGAGCCTACAGAATCTGTGGGGAGCTTTGCTGGTGGTCAGCAGGCTTCAGGCACACAAGGGCTGAAGGGACTCCAGCTCGGCTGCACGTTAAAAACAGCAGGGGAAACCCTTCCCTCTGTGAAGCAGTGCACTGACTGTCACAGCTGCGCCCACAAAAGCTCGTGGTCTCCCCACTTCCAGTGCCAAAGTTGGCTTAAAACAAAAGAAGGGGGGGAGAGAAGAGAACAATCCCCTTTTTCCACCTCTGGATGGAAATCCCTGCACGCCCTCGGGAAAGCTTTAGTGCCTTTTTATTAAAACAGTTACAAATCCCTGGAATCTCAACAGCTGTTTGTGCTGAACTCCAAGGATTTCTCTCTGTTTAAGCAAACACACGCCCACCGGAGTGATCGCTGGAGAAACAGCTCCCTAAATCTCTGCAAGGGAAAACTACCCAGATAACACACCCCGGGGACACCCAAAGAGTCTGTCAGGTGCTGTGGGACATGGTGGGTGGCAGCAGCCTCCCCCCAGCACAGACATTTACCTCTGGGCCCTCCTGAGGCTGCATGGCAGGTGCTGAACGTCACTTCCACTGGGAGAAGGGCAACCGGGACAGAAATCTCTGCCTAATTCTTCAGGGAAAGGTAAATCCCCGGTCAAATCCCCAGCTGCAATGGGAATGAAGCCCAGGGAACCTCTCCAGTGAGCGCATGGGGCAGCTGGAGACATCACGGGGGCTCCGGAGAGGATTCTCAGAGAGAGAGAGCAGCAAGAGAGATGGGACAGCAGGAACCAGAGGGATGAGGGGCTGTGGGATCTGCTCCCCTTCCACGCTGCAGGTGAGCCCTGAGAAAAAGCAGGATCAAACTGGCACAATCTTACCCCCAAGATAATTATAAAGCAAAGCTGGCAGAAACAGAAACACATACTTACAGAGAAAAAAGCAAATACCTAGCAGGAATAGTCTCCCAGCAAAAACAGACCTGGTTCTAGTGCAGTCTCTTGGCTCCGAATTCTTCTTCTGAATTTATTTCAGCTTTAATGAGCTTATCAACAACAAAGGTGAACGAAATGTTCCCTTCTCTAACAGAAATCTAAACCTAAGCTTAAAGAAAAAAAAAAAATAAATGAAAATTTCTGAACTCAGAAAGCAGCATTTCAGTACAAGAATCTGTTTTATTTTTACAGTGCAGTGATTGAAACAATGTAGAAATTTAACTTGCAAAACTGAATTTATATCACAATGTCTATCAGAAGGCAATACTTATGTTGTTTTGGTTTTTAATCATAAAATATTTCTCTGGACACCAGAAATTACAAACTCTTAACACTATACACTTCACTTTATTTTAGAGAATAATTCCTCATAATTTAAATCTATCTTATAAACATTTTCTTTTAAAAAACATGTGGAGGATAAAAAGAACTCAAGTATGAAACTCAAGGCCTTGATTATTATTATTTTCTTTTTCCTTTTAAACAAAGATAGCTTAAGAAATGTATCAAAACAGTAACTGTGGGTATTCGAGCTCCTAGTCAGGCTCTGTAACGCACTGCTCCACGATCTCCCGCAAGTTGGGGTTCTCCATGGCAGCTGCGACTCTCTCTTTGTCGTTGATTTGCTTGTTGACTGCAAAATACCACAGGAAAGGTGAAGTCAGTGGCAGTTTCCAGTGGAACGTTACACCCACTGCACCAGTAACGTGGCAAACACTCAATACCCTACTGCAGTGATGGCTTCCCAAACCTGGTGAGCTCAAGGGCTGAGCAAACGCTGCCGAGCAGTAACGGGACATGCTCTCAGCTTTCTTCTCAGCAGAAAACCAAGCACTTTTGTTACTTTTCTAGTTTAGGAATGGAATGTAAGATGCTCTAATGACACGGCTTAAAAGTCAAGTGTGAAATTCTTCATAAATTCGTAGTCCTAGTTCTCCAGATTCGATTTCTAGTCATTTAATCACAAGAACTGATTTTCCCCACACAAAGATATCTAATGCTGAAGAACGAAAAAGCCCGGGGCATCGCCTGGCCAAAGGCTTTAAGGGCTGTTTAGGCCAGTGATTGGCTATAGCTTTGAGAGGATTTTGATGTCCTGTCAGTTGTATTTTAAACATTGACTGAGAAACATATACTTTTGTAATGGTGATGTTCAGACAGCGAGATCAACCAGTCAGGACCTTCGTGTTAATTACCCAGCAGCATGGCAGCAATTTGTTATGTTATAAACAATTCAACACCTGCAAGAACTGCAGGGTTTGTTTAAAAAAAACCACCACAAGAAGAAGCAGCATATGCTCCCAGCACCAATAGAGCTCTTGAAAGAGCCTGAACTACTTGTTTCATTTTAAAGCTTTAACAGTGTATTAATTCCTGAAAAGAACACGAACAGAGAGCCCAAAGCTGCACTCACTCCTTCACAAGCTCTACTTACTGTCCTCTTCAGTAGAATGTGTCCCTTCAGATATGTAGATTTCCAGCTAGAGGAGAGAACAATAATGTTAGCTGCATACATTAACAGGTAAATATATACACTACTGGAAGAAAAAAATTGTGCAATGCACATACTATGTAATTCATACTTTTAAAAAAAAGGGTTCACAGACAACAAAAGGGGATCAAGGACAAGAGCTGATCTTAGACATCACTGCAACACCATCACAAGAAAATCTCCTCCCCCAAACCAGAGAGGCCCCAGTAATCCTCCTCCAAAACTGTGGAGGCATTCACTCCTCGGTCGTACCGACTGCTCTGTGAAAAAGTCATTGTGGTTCAGCTACTGGAAAGAGAGCAGAGAATTGGCACTGCTTTCCCAACAAGTTCTCTGCAGGCCACAAATCAGGAACAATTTGTTTAAAAGCCACCAGAATTGCAGGTGTCACTTTCACAAGCTGAGGGCTCTTGAAAAGACATCCTTGGGAAGAGCTCCCTCCACCAGCTTTAAGCAGATCCCATCCCTAATCACAGCTCGGGGGTTACGTGATCCTGCAGCACACCCTCTGTCACAGAGACCCTGGCACACGTTCATGGAGTTTAAAGTGAGTTCTGGAGCAGATACTTTACCTTATGTCTAAAAGGCAAACATCTCTGAAGTTTTATTCTTAAACAAAGGCCTGTTGAAACAAAACAGATGAGATTTTCTTGTAAACTTCAAGGGTTGAGGTGCACTTTCAGAGAATCCATATTTAACAATCAAAACCCACCAGTATAAGGGACAACCTTTTCTTTTTGTAGTCTGAGCAGGAAGTTTAAGATTTGACATGTGTATCATCCATCCTCAGGTCTGAGCCTTACCCCTCCGACACTCCTAACAGGGTCAGCCTATAAGCAATTACTGTTTGACACACCAATATTAGCTTTCCTATCTATACTTTACTTTCTACATAAAGCTGCAAGGCTTTATTGGGCATAAACACATGTCGTTCTTCGTTAAATATCCATTTTCCTTTGAATCTTTAAAATAGACCAGGAAATCTTAGTATTGATATATAATGGCAAGAGCTGCTGACCTCGGTACATTACACAAACCATTTCAGAGATCTCAGACAGGATTTTTCATACGTGATCTCACCGCAAAAGAGAGATGGGACAGCAGGAACCAGAGGGATGAGGGGCTGTGGGATCTGCTCCCCTTCCACGCTGCAGGTGAGCCCTGAGAAAAAGCAGGATCAAACTGGCACAATCTTACCCCCAAGATAATTATAAAGCAAAGCTGGCAGAAACAGAAACACATACTTACAGAGAAAAAAGCAAATACCTAGCAGGAATAGTCTCCCAGCAAAAATAGACCTGGTTCTAGTGCAGTCTCTTGGCTCCGAATTCTTCTTCTGAATTTATTTCAGCTTTAATGTGCTTATCAACAACAAAGGTGAACGAAATGTTCCCTTCTCTAACAGAAATCTAAACCTAAGCTTAAAGAAAAACGAAAATTTCTGAACTCAGAAAGCAGCATTTCAGTACAAGAATCTGTTTTATTTTTACAGTGCAGTGATTGAAACAATGTAGAAATTTAACTTGCAAAACTGAATTTATATCACAATGTCTATCAGAAGGCAATACTTATGTTGTTTTGGTTTTTAATCATAAAATATTTCTCTGGACACCAGAAATTACAAACTCTTAACACTATACACTTCACTTTATTTTAGAGAATAATTCCTCATAATTTAAATCTATCTTATAAACATTTTCTTTTAAAAAACATGTGGAGGATAAAAAGAACTCAAGTATGAAACTCAAGGCCTTGATTATTATTATTTTCTTTTTCCTTTTAAACAAAGATAGCTTAAGAAATGTATCAAAACAGTAACTGTGGGTATTCGAGCTCCTAGTCAGGCTCTGTAACGCACTGCTCCACGATCTCCCGCAAGTTGGGGTTCTCCATGGCAGCTGCGACTCTCTCTTTGTCGTTGATTTGCTTGTTGACTGCAAAATACCACAGGAAAGGTGAAGTCAGTGGCAGTTTCCAGTGGAACGTTACACCCACTGCACCAGTAACGTGGCAAACACTCAATACCCTACTGCAGTGATGGCTTCCCAAACCTGGTGAGCTCAAGGGCTGAGCAAACGCTGCCGAGCAGTAACGGGACATGCTCTCAGCTTTCTTCTCAGCAGAAAACCAAGCACTTTTGTTACTTTTCTAGTTTAGGAATGGAATGTAAGATGCTCTAATGACACGGCTTAAAAGTCAAGTGTGAAATTCTTCATAAATTCGTAGTCCTAGTTCTCCAGATTCGATTTCTAGTCATTTAATCACAAGAACTGATTTTCCCCACACAAAGATATCTAATGCTGAAGAACGAAAAAGCCCGGGGCATCGCCTGGCCAAAGGCTTTAAGGGCTGTTTAGGCCAGTGATTGGCTATAGCTTTGAGAGGATTTTGATGTCCTGTCAGTTGTATTTTAAACATTGACTGAGAAACATATACTTTTGTAATGGTGATGTTCAGACAGCGAGATCAACCAGTCAGGACCTTCGTGTTAATTACCCAGCAGCATGGCAGCAATTTGTTATGTTATAAACAATTCAACACCTGCAAGAACTGCAGGGTTTGTTTAAAAAAAACCACCACAAGAAGAAGCAGCATATGCTCCCAGCACCAATAGAGCTCTTGAAAGAGCCTGAACTACTTGTTTCATTTTAAAGCTTTAACAGTGTATTAATTCCTGAAAAGAACACGAACAGAGAGCCCAAAGCTGCACTCACTCCTTCACAAGCTCTACTTACTGTCCTCTTCAGTAGAATGTGTCCCTTCAGATATGTAGATTTCCAGCTAGAGGAGAGAACAATAATGTTAGCTGCATACATTAACAGGTAAATATATACACTACTGGAAGAAAAAAATTGTGCAATGCACATACTATGTAATTCATACTTTTAAAAAAAAGGGTTCACAGACAACAAAAGGGGATCAAGGACAAGAGCTGATCTTAGACATCACTGCAACACCATCACAAGAAAATCTCCTCCCCCAAATCAGAGAGGCCCCAGTAATCCTCCTCCAAAACTGTGGAGGCATTCACTCCTCGGTCGTACCGACTGCTCTGTGAAAAAGTCATTGTGGTTCAGCTACTGGAAAGAGAGCAGAGAATTGGCACTGCTTTCCCAACAAGTTCTCTGCAGGCCACAAATCAGGAACAATTTGTTTAAAAGCCACCAGAATTGCAGGTGTCACTTTCACAAGCTGAGGGCTCTTGAAAAGACATCCTTGGGAAGAGCTCCCTCCACCAGCTTTAAGCAGATCCCATCCCTAATCACAGCTCGGGGGTTACGTGATCCTGCAGCACACGCTCTGTCAGAGAGACCCTGGCACACGTTCATGGAGCTTAAAGTGAGTTCTGGAGCAGATACTTTACCTTATGTCTAAAAGGCAAACATCTCTGAAGTTTTATTCTTAAACAAAGGCCTGTTGAAACAAAACAGATGAGATTTTCTTGTAAACTTCAAGGGTTGAGGTGCACTTTCAGAGAATCCATATTTAACAATCAAAACCCACCAGTATAAGGGACAACCTTTTCTTTTTGTAGTCTGAGCAGGAAGTTTAAGATTTGACATGTGTATCATCCATCCTCAGGTCTGAGCCTTAACCCTCCGACACTCCTAACAGGGTCAGCCTATAAGCAATTACTGTTTGACACACCAATATTAGCTTTCCTATCTATACTTTACTTTCTACATAAAGCTGCAGGGCTTTATTGGGCATAAACACATGTCGTTCTTCGTTAAATATCCATTTTCCTTTGAATCTTTAAAATAGACCAGGAAATCTTAGTATTGATATATAATGGCAAGAGCTGCTGACCTCGGTACATTACACAAACCATTTCAGAGATCTCAGACAGGATTTTTCATACGTGATCTCACCGCAAATAATAAGGAAGAAAAAAGCCAAATAAGCCAGTGTAGATTCTCATTCAACTTAATTGCTTTCAAACTCCTAACAGTCTGGATTTTTTTTTGTATTTTTGGATTTCAGATGGGGTTTTTTGTACACGTGTGGGAATGGAGAACAGCCCATAAGGTACAGGAACAATAAGGGAAACAACATTAAAGTTTTAACATTATTTTAAATTTAAGAGCTGGCAAATTTTCAGTTTAGCATTACTAAAATAATGTAACGCAGAGTATGAAGGCGAATTCCGTACCTCCTCCCAGCAGATTTTTGAGAGCTGCTCTTTGAAGAGTTTCCCTAACTTGATAAAGCCGGATGGTTTTGTTAGTTTGCATTGCTGGTAGGGCTCTCGAGATGATAATCCTGGTCAAACTACTGGCAAAGCAACACTGAATCTTAAAGCAGACTGATGTTATTCAGACAACCTAAAATTAACGTTACGCTCCCTGTTACAGATTTAATGAACCAGAAACCTTACCAATGAGAGTAGCCAGAGAGCAATGAGGTACTGTTGGTGTAAACCTGATGATAACCAGATACTCGTCTTCACCTATCTCTTGCACTTCAACACAGCTTTCCGTTACCACTTCCAGTTCTTCCAAAGTATTAGGTTTCTCCGGGTCCCGGATAGTACGGATTATATCTAAAGCAGAAGACAAGTGACCATCAATAAAGTAGCTTTCCTGAATTTAATAAAAGTTATTTTTATTAGAAACCATCTTCCTAGCATTTTTTATTTTGCTTCTCTTCAGAAAAGACGGCCAGGTCACGTCTGTCATTTCTTCCTCTATTTTTACATTTTATCCCCTCTCTACGGGAAAAGGCCCACGTAAAGAAGAAATCAATTCCTTCGCCAAGCAGTGAGGGGAACCCTAAAGTTGCTTTAGTTCAGCAGTACTTCAGGGCTGTCTCTGCTCTGCTAAATGTAAATTTTACACAGATGCTTTAGTTCTGCAAAGATCAAGCACAAAGATCACAGACCCCTGCCCCACAGCTCCTCACAGACCCCTGTCCCACAGACCCACAGCCCCTCACAGACCCCTCACAGCCCCACAGGCCCCTCACAGACCCCTGCCCCACAGCTCCTCACAGACCCCTGTCCCACAGACCCACAGCCCCTCACAGACCCCTCACAGCCCCACAGGCCCCTCACAGCCCCTCACAGCCCCACAGCTCCTCACAGACCCCTCACAGCCCCACGGCCCCTCACA